TATATATATATATAAGTGTAAAAGATGAAAAGTCGCAGCATAAAAACCAGAGCCAGATAGAGTCACGGGCATCATTATAAGTCCTATGCGACTCAGATGCAGCTTAAAGAAATAGTTTAGCAGTCGCAGAATCAGAGTCACGTTTTTGTTGTTGTTGTTGCTCCAGTCACTTGCCCAGCCCGTCGTGCGGTACGGTAATGAGCCGAGAGTTCTTGGAACTGCGCCAACGCCGCGTCCTTGAAACAGGTTTCGCCCATAAACAAGACGGGCAGCGGGCAACAGACGGAGATTATGACTGTGACTGTGACTGTGTCTTCGAAAGTGGTTCTAAGCAGGTCGCATCTGAAAATGATATAAAAATTTTTACTATTACTCTATTAATTAAAAGTTGGCGAAAATATATGGCACTGATTCTCAGAGGCCATTTAAATTCACATTAGCTGCACATATTGTCTGGACTCTGCAATGAGATAGACACAGGTCTGCCTGGGCAACGCTTAAAAGCTTCCATAAAAATCAAGCAGGCTCGGCCAGGCACAGAGCGCCTGATAAAATTAGCAAAATTATTGCCACACAGTAGCTCGGACCCAGGCTCAGGCCAAGGCAGACGGCAGACGGTAGGCGGGTCAAAGCGCCATGGGACGTCATTCGATTTGACTAAGTGGTTTTGCACAGTGGGCTAGGCGATATAATAACCACAGTGAAACTTTATTTTTTTTTTAGTCACAATTGAATATTTAACTGACAAGCAACGAGTGCAACTGTCAAAAAAGAATCACGATAACGAATTAGACATCGATAGCCAGCGACTTTCAATGCCTATCGCCAATCTTATCAATGTTTTACTCATTTTGCCACTGTGCAAAAAAGGCATGTTTTTTTTTAAGATAAGAGTTGATGTTGTTTTGCGAAAAATGATTGTGTTAAATAATGTTCTTAATATTGATGTTCTTAGTTCATTGCAATTTTGAGCGCCAAAAGTAAGATAACGTCCATAGTGCAACATAATCGTAACTAAGTAAATGCATTCATAGATGCACACGCAACTGCCACATCAATTAGGTGCGCAGCAAACGCGCCTCGCCCACTTTGACTTGGCCATCTGCCTAGGCTGACTCGACTTGCAAGCGAGTGGCTCGCTTGATTGGTCGTTTGGTTAGCATTAAGTCTCAAATTAGCATTCACTACTTTCAAGTACGTTTGCCCACATTCAAAAGTAAAAGGCAGTTGTGTAAATTATCGATAAATAAACAATAGCCCCACATAACATACAATGTTAAGTGTGCGTGTTGACATCTGTTAATGCTCATATTACCTACTACTGTTAACTCCAGTTAACTCGCATATGCCTGGTTCATTGCCCGTCCACCCACATGTCGCAATGACAGCCGTTAGACGACCTTCATTCAAACGCCTTTCCTTGGCCCGCGAGTGCCGAGCAGCTGAAGTGAAGTGCAAATATTTGTTGCACGCCAACAAAAACATAAATGTTATGAAAGTGTTTGAAATACGAAAAATATCAACAAATGAAAATAATGTGTGCTGACATGTGTTTATTAATAATATGGTCTGATAACCGCCGACTATTGAACTGTTGAATTCACCTTTTATCATTTTTCACTGTTCCTGGATTACTCACAATAAGTGATAAGAGCGTCTCGTGCAATCTGCAGCACAGCTGCAATCAGTAATATATATATACATATTTACATATGTAAATATAGCAAACAGTTTGCTTTAATGTTATTTTTGTAGGGTGTTTATTGGTTTTTCTTTTAATAGATTTTTGACGGCTGACATAATGTACATATGTATAGTATCCGAGTCTTCAGGTATATTAATCTCCGACAGCGGCAATTTTTGGTTAGTACAACTTGAAAAATCACATGGAACAGGTATATTAGAGCTCAAAGATAAATTGTAATTCACATTTGCTCTAGTGTGTGGGTGTGTGTGCTCTAGTGTCAAGTGTATATAACGTATGTATTTGAAGTGATCAGCTGTTTATGTTTTGATTTATGGAAGATCAAATTATGAAATATCTATATACCAACAGCTCACTCTGGTTTTAAATATTTGAAGTTTCGTGTCGATATTAAACGCCTTCATTGAACTTGAAAAAACTATCGATTATTTTGCAAATTGAACCAGAGCTGCAAGTGCAATACAGTAACGTGCATGAGCTGTAAAACTCTTATACTTGTACTTATACTTATGCAGAAAGACGAAGAAACTGACGAATCGGCAGACAGACAGAGCCGCATCGACAATATGACCTCTTTCTGCCCCTTAATTACACTGAACTTCAATTTGTCATGGGCTCTAAGCACAATTCAATAAATATGTAACGTGTTAAATTTAGCTTTTGTTTAGTTTGTTTGTAATTTCCCAATTAATCATGCCGAGTTATCAATTGCTCAATGGAGTGCAATCGACTGACATTGATAATCTTGCATTAGCTGTATTTCATTAAAACTGGCCCATTAAATACTTTAACCCAAATGGAAAATAGTGAACAAAGCTAAAGAGCAGTTAAAATATTTTGAATGCAAGCTTCAACAACAACCGAAGAGCATTAACACTTTAGATTCACCTACAAAATTCAGCGCAGAAAATTTCGACGGCTCGCAGATTTGTAAATTATGTTAATTATACGCTCCGCTGGGCGAAAAGTGAAAAACTGAAGTGTAAAATGGAAATGGAAATATTCGAAATTGGGTTTTTAGGCCTTAACTAATTTATCTGGACTCGATTGCCAACTAACTAATGCGGCACTCCTATAATTACAGCAAACTGTGACACCAGCAACATCGACAGCAGCAGAGAGCAACAATTCGTAGTATGCGGCTCTTTAAAGCGCGCAAATCAACGGACACTTACAGCACTTTAAGCGCCGCTCAACAGCACCAACAGCAACAGCAGACGAGCAACACCAGCAGCAGCAAGCAATATAACAGCAGCAACAGCAACAGCAATCGGGCAACAATATGCAGCAACAGATTCAGCAAGAGCATTGCCAGCAGCACAGCAATATCCTCATCGTTGCCTGATCTGCACGATAAGTCGCCCGTCATGATACTCAGTTGCACAACGCTAACAAGCAATGGTGCTGCTGCCACGGCGACAGTGACAGCAGCAGCGGCAACAACAGTTGCTGCCGCAACAGCAACAGCAACTACGAATGGCAGCAATAATGCGCAGCCTCTACGCACGGCCACGCCCACATGTTTGTTAAGTGGACGCCAGACGCCATCCGGGCTATCAATGCTCTCCTTGCAGGAGTCGAATACACTGCACAGGCAGCAGCAACATCAACAGCAGCAACAGCAACAGCAGCAACCAACAATTTTTGTGCCCAATAAATTGAGCAACAATGCCAGCGCAGCTAACTTTCTGCTCAGCTACTCAAGCAACAGCAACATTAACAGCATCCAGCAACAGCAGCAACAACATCAACAGCAGCAGCAGCAGCACCAACAACAGCAGCAACACTATCAGCAATATGTGGCACAGCGTCTGCATCCTGCAGCCTCCAACGGCTGCCTATATGACAAGTCGAACCTAAATGGTTCATCTGGCTGCAATTCGAATAGCAACAGCATCAACATCTCTCTGACCGCCAATGGTAAGTGAAACAGAAACGAAGAGCTACATTTTTATATATGCCATGCTATATTAGAAGTGCCATTTCACAGATGATATCTGACTAGCAGCTGACACAATCCTAGCTACACCCCATAAAACCTCTGCAGAAGGCTTGGCAGTCCGCTGCAATCGTTGAGCTGCCAATGGCAATCCTTTTCCACATCCTTTGCTTCAGCCCCAGCAACTTCTTTATAATAGCCCGATCCCAGGCGACTGCAATAGTTGCTGGAATTGCTGTTGGGCTCACGCTGCATTAGGTAGACTCCGGACTCCAACTGCTGCAACATATTGAAGTACCAAACGTCTTGGGCGTCGCATAGATTCTCCAGGCGCAGCCAGCCATGTGACGATGGCTCCGTCCCCAACGCCAGCTGCCACATGCAGCAACGGCTACTGGCGCCCAGCTGCAGTGCCCCAGCTGTCATTAGATACATCAGATCCCTGTCGTGCGCCAAGCAGAGCCAACGACTACGCACCAGGATCTGCAATGCTTTTGGCAAGCTCTGCAACATATTCTGCAATTGGCTGCTATTCCACTCCGGGTCCGTTTGCAGTCGACGCAAGTTCAACGCGAAATCCAGCAGCAACATGTTGTCGTTGTCAAAGCGATGGCTGCGTCGCAGCTGCCAATAGAGACTGAGCCATAGGCGACGCTTCAATGGGCTATGAATGCCGCTATTGTTGCTCAGCAGCTGCTGCAGTTCCTCCAGCTCCAGTTGCGATTTCTCCAAGAAGTTGAAATTCCCGGCAAAACGTTGCTGCTCCTCCTCGCTGAGGTGCCGACACCTGTCATCGAATTGGTCATTCGAGACTTTTAGCGGCTGCTTCAGCATTTCGGGCAAATTATAGCCCAAACTGTGTTGCCATTGCGTCCAGAATATGGCCCAGTAGAGCAGCCAGATTTTCAGACCGGATCGCCCAGCCATCTCCGGCAAACTGTTAGACACTCTCGCTTCGCTTTAAATTTATACATTACTTCGGTAATATTGCTTATCATTATATTTTTGATTCATACTTTCCGCTGATATCAGCCGAAAGTATATGATTAACTTCCTTATTCGATTAACGGGGGAATGCACTTTTCCTAAAAACCAACATATATGTATGTGTATATGTTTGAATGCTTAATAATGGTTTTACTTTTTATTTTTCAAGGACATATGCCCGACTACAAGCTGGTGACGGCCGTGCCAGTCGTTGTCCTGGATGATGAGCAGAAATTGGTAGCGACAGCTGCGGACACAAATAGCGATGCTGGCAGCAGCATAAGCACAGGCAGCGCCACCTCCTTGGCCAGCACCACGCGAAATGGTGAGTAACGCCCCCCACTGGACCCCGACCCGAACCCAAGACTAGAAGCAAACAAGCGACCGAAATAGACGACAAGCCCCAAAGCCTTAAATGCGCTGAAATTGATTTTTAAATGCTGCCACCCTAGTGGAATGGCATCTTTATCTATATTTATGATGCCTTTTATATGGACGCATGCCGACAGCTTACCGTGTCCCATCTCTAATAAATAACAGAGTCTCTTCCCCTTCCCGCTCGCTCTCTTTCACACTCTATTAGGGACTTATGTATATAAATAAGACTGCGATAGTAAGTGTCTAACTTTATATTGCTATTTAATTGGTGCTCCAACAAAAAAGCGTGTGAAAACAGCTGATATCTTAACAGTCGTATATCAATATAAATCAATTATATTTTTGAATTATACGGAAATTGTTAACTAAAGATAGCAAAGAAAAGAAAGCAAGGCAAAATAGGAACACACACGCGCACATACACATATAAATACGCACACATATCTACGTAGACAATACAGCAGTTCTTTACAGCTTACAAAACTCACCCTACATTCACGTATGCTAATTAGGTCATCTCGCTCTAACTTACGTAATGATTAGCATGCATATGTACATGTATGCGTAAGTATAAGAGCAGATTGCAGCCAATCAGACAGTTCCTTTAAAAATAACAAAGTCTTTGCGGAACTAGTTCAGTTATTTGCAGCCAGTTCAATGGGCATTCAACATACAATATACAATATAAAATCAATTTGACTCAGTTCGAGTTATTTGGTTCGCTGAATGAAAAGATTTCCGCATGTGTCAACGCATCATCAAGCACTCGCGATTGTCATCGATACTCGAAAGTGGGCATGGTGTGTGTTTATGTATAAAGGTATAAAGCACGCCCTGAAATACCGTATTGACCCGATTTCGGTCCGCACAGTGGACAATTCGGCCAAAAAGCGTGGCACAAACATAACTCAGACAGCAAACTTTAACCCCATTCACTTCAAACCCATTCTTTCGTATACTTTTTACACTCTGTAGACAGGCCCAGGCTCCACTGTACGTAATGCGATCCAAAGCGCACGGGGGCTGCCTCTGGGTAGGTCTGGGATGGTACTTTTATGGTCTGGACTGTGGTTTCGGTTAGGGGCCCTAAATCCCATAAGCGACCAAGTGTGACAAAGCGTGGCATTATGTGATCCATTTGACTGATGATTCGCAATGCAAGACTCCGTATGTGACATGCACTGAAACGTTGCGGTTTGTTTGCCATGAAGAGTGGATGATATAACTGATTGGATTTGCAGCCATACGGGAACAAACTGCGAAAGAATTAGGAAAATAAAAGACCCTTATGTTAGAGATTGTAAGGCATTAGTATAAAGGAGAAATACGCAATATAGAGTTCTTTAAATTCAGTAAATACTGGAACAAATATAGATATGGACTTCAGTTAGGCTTCTCTTCCCATTAACTGTGAGTAAAACAAATGCGCTTCGTGAAAAGTGCAGCTGTTAGATTCAAGCTACTGAACAAAATTACACTGGCCAACAAGTTTAATAACCATGTCATGGGAAATATACGATCAGAAGCATTTGCATAATGTGGTTGAGTCGTCGGGCCGAATCGAAAGCCGACTCAGAGCCAGAACGAGCCGGGCTTGGGATGAAGACAAGAGCAAGAGTGAAGCGAGGCAATAACAAATATTCAAAATGAGGCAAAAACGGCAACCAAAATGCACGCGGCATACAATAATATCTCACGTACGCGCTTCAATTCTTCGATCTAGATCGTCGCATAACGGAGAAGGCGCTGAATTTGAAAGGTGGAAGGGGCAAGGAGATGGAGAAGAAGAAGGGGGCAAGTAGAGAGGGGAATGCGAAGCGAATGCCTTCGACTGGAGCTGAGAGATCGATAATCGGGCAGCGAAATAAATCAAGTCGAGGTAGAAACATGTAATAAGCGATAATCCAGTATAAATGCGCATGCGTGCAATTCAGATGGAATAGTTTCGTTGGAGATGAAGATGAAGATGAAGATGAAGATGGAATTCAGCGCGGATTCGAAATTATAGCATTTAGGTGTTCTTTTTTTTTCTCCTTTGTTTTTTTTTTTTGCCGATTGTTGTCGACAGCTGGGCGAGAAGCGTTCTTGAGCTATGGCGCTTATTGATTTCTCATGCTGCCGTTGCTGTGGTTGCTTTGGAAATCTGAGATCGGGCCAATTATGGCCACAATTTAGGCCCTACAGAAAGCCATTTACAGCTATTGATGTGGCGTCTCTGACCTTGGGGCGCCAATAATTAGAATCAATTAAGATTGGCATTAGAATGACGCACAGCAGCTGGCAAAGCGGAGGCTGCGGCGTAATGAACTTACAGCTAAATTGCCTCTGACACGCAATCCAATGGCAAGTGGCATGGCAAATGGCCAACAACATGAATGCATTGTGACAACGACAGCTAGAGCTGAGCTTTGTTCGTAATTAAGTGGTTGAAAATGCCAGCACTAAGCGATAGGGGTTATCGAACTATACGTTTGTGTCTATCGAGCCATTGTTATTTTTGCTATCGCTCCGGTCGCATCCTTAAAATTGTTGAGGTGAGCAGCTATAAAAAATGCTGGTAAATTGTAAGAAAAAGTATAAATTCATGATTAACAAAATTATATACATATAAGTTATAGAGAGAATTGGCATACACAATAGAAGAAGCTGCCATCGGCAAATGCTCTCTATTTAGCCATTCTTTTATATTTTACAGCCATTTAATATATGTATATAAAAATGGCATGATTTTTGTGTGCATATCTATAATATTATAATAGTATATACATTCCTGATCAATATTAGCCACACACTCCATCCAGAACCTCTCCGCCCATCCGTCAGTTAGATCAGCATTCCAGGGTATCTACTAGTCGTGCACCACAGACGAATGCACTCCAACTTGTCTTTTTCCTCAATTCCCATTCCCCATTTCCCCAGCTCTTGATGCCAGGCTACAGAGAGTTGCAACAAAGCCGGCTTAGAGCTGGCGGGCACTTGACACCGTCTTAAAAGATAAGTGGGTGTAGAATTTGTGGCATGTGGCCGGCGGTCGTTTTTGATACAGTGATGAGTTGAGCTGAGTGTGTGCCGCGTGGCAGAGGCTGTCATATAATTGATGCCCGGACCATTTGCTATTATTGTTTAACACCCATCCTCCTCGATTCGCCAGCAACTCTGATTGGCAAACGGCTTCGCGTGTTGAAATTTTAATCAAATGCAAATGGACAGAGCCGTCGGCCGTCGAGCGTCGAGCGTCGAGCGTCGGCCGACAGAAGAGAACAGAATTGCGGAACAAAGTCGGTCAGGCCTGGGTGGAGCTGTTACTGACTACACACAGATAGGCTGCAGTTGTTTCAACTGTCAACCCGAATCGAGGCTGTGCGCGCCCACACATTTGGCCCGCAGCTGGGCTGAGGCTATTAAACATCTTTGGCACGAGTCAGAGTCGGAGGAAGAGGAAGAGGCCGGTGCAGATGCCATTGCCGATGCCAATGCCAATGTCGATGCCGATGCCGATGCAGAGTCCGAGCCATGAACTGAACGCTCCTTCGATGGGCACAAAGCGCACTTAATGTCATAGATGAAAATAGTTTTCCAAATTTTATTGAGTCCATAAGATGTTAGCGATGCTCGACGCGGAACAAGAGATTTGCTTCAGCTGTTTCTCATGATCACCTTTTATACTAATTGTTGGCGTAACTTCATATGCCTATCTGTCTCTCCCTCTCTTTCTATCTCTCTCTCTCTTCAGCTCTCCTTATCACTGCATTTGTTATAGAAATATGGGACAAACGCATAAATTTGTTTATAAACGAATCTTGCAATACAACTAGAAACTCCACCCATTAATGGTTTTTTAAGTGTTTGTCTATCGTTAAGCCAGATCGTTAAAAGTTACGACCATTTTACATATCCTAAAGGATTTTGATTGAGTTGCATGTAAAGCACGAAAAATCAAATGATTGAGAAATGTCATAGATAAACAGTAGAAGAAGACATTTATTAGCTTTATTAAAGCTCCAGGTAAAAGACAAAATATTATAATTTATTCCTCTCCTATGTATATACACAAAAAAGCTATCTGCAAAGCTTTTAATATAGTTCATATACAACTTTTACACAATCTGCTAAATTCCAAATTTGATCAAGCTATGTTGATTACCAAAAAAGAAACTCAGCTTAATTATCAGTTGATGTTACCAAAAATGATTTTATAATACTATATGACCATAAAATATTCTATATATATGTATGCATAAATAAACAAAAACAACTAAATTCGCTCTGGCCTCTTCCTTTATGTACAAGCATTTATACCAAGATAGGCCATCGATATCTTATACATTCGATGTCTCATACTTTATCTATATATAAACTCTTATGCTCCTGCGAATAAAAAAAAATTCTGAATGTATAAGTGAGCACAATGTCTTATACACAATTATATATGCTTTGTATATACAGCCTGAACTCTTATACCAATTAATTGCCTATACATCGAATACACAAACCCTTTTGAAAAGCATGACCTATAGTCTTATAAAAATATAAGAGGCAGTTCGATCACTATAAAGTAATACAAATGAATATAAATAGTATCCATTAAATATGAGCAAGAAAACTTTAAATATTATTTTATTAGGCAATATATTATGATAACGATTAATTTGTAAATTGCATTAATTGAATAATTTGTTGGTTAGCAGTTAAATAACAATTATGGACGAGCGTTCAACACAACCCATCGCCATCCTCCTCTTCAAGTTCTCTGGTACTGTTCGCTTCATTGGCGCCACCAGATTTCTTCTCCACTTCGAGACCCTTGGGCAATGGAATGTTCTTGGCTAGAATGGCATATTCCACGTCCATGTGTCGGATGAATGGCGATGCCAACATTTTAGCTGCCAGCTCGCCGTCCTCCTCGTCGAAGGCTTGCAGCAGAGTCTGCAGCGTGGAGACTTCTTCAGCCTCACAGCAAGTGCCCCATTCCTTGAAGGATTTTTCGGCCTCCACGGAGTCTCCCAATGCCAATTGCACTAAGACAAGCGCCACAACCAAACGGCCAATCTGCCCATATGATTCAGTTTGCTGATAGAATCCGATTTCTTTCTTAAGCGCCTTTGTCGCCTCTTCGTATCGCTGCAGCTTCACCAAGATTCTTGACACTTTCGAAGAGTATTCGGATGCCTGCCGTGTTGAGTCCTCAATCATAATGACCTCCACTGCATGCTGATAGAAACGCAAAGCCATCTCTGGATACTTTTGCTCTGTCAACTTGGCCGCTTTGTCCAAGGCGGAGGCGGCAGCTTCTGGTGAACCATGTTGTTGATACAAGCTACATGCCTTGTTGGCATATTCCTCAACATCTGTCAGTTTGTCCAGATCTTTGCAAATCAAAATTATCTGCTCGTATGATTTTGCAGCGTGGAACCAGGATTTGTTGTTTTTGTAGCACTCAATAGCCTTCAACAAACACTCCTTGCTTTTGTCGAACGATTTCGCAATGCGATACGCAGTTGCCGCTTTCGCGTACTCATCGGCAGCGCTGTCATAGTCAGGTACCCATTTCAGTAGCGATGTTTTTAAACTTTTTTCAGCTGCTTGCACTAATTGCTCAGCCTCAGCAATTTTTTTCGCAGCCACAGACATGTTTTTAGCTTGCGAAAAATCAATTGTTGTTTACGTATGCAGTGTGACTGTAGGCATAGTATCCGAAAAAAATGACAATAGATAAAAAATACTAAAACAAAACATATTGCCCATACAATATATCGATATATTTTAGCGATAGTTGAGCTTTTAAATCGCGCGCATGTGACACATTTAAACGTGAAACGAGTAACTTGAATGCTTTCATTTCTACTTGAATATTTTCATTTTTATTTTAAATAAATAGCGCAGAAAATGCAGCAAAAGGTGAAACTTGATGGTTACCACTACAATTTGCATGTGCAGTCTATCATTGAATTTGCGGTTACTGCAAGCTGCCACAATCAACACGTTCCCCAAGCCGACCTTTGTTGTGGTTTGCTCGGCTGCACACACATGTGTGTGTGTGTAAGCTGATGCCTTTCACAAGCACGTGACAGGCTATCAACCACAAAGGAAAAGCAGGCTTAAGGAACAGACAAGGTCCACGCTTGTTTCTCTCTCTCCCCATCTCTCTCTCACTCTATCTCTCCCTCTTTCTTAAGATGTATGCAGATTTGTGATTTGTGTGACTCTGGCGGCTGTCAGCGGCGGCAAATGCCCCAGAGGTGTTAAGATTTATTGAAGCATTGTAATTAATTTAGAAATCACTTTCTGATTGAGTTCTTCTCCTATGCCTTTTCCCTTTACAGTGTTCACCTGGGGCAAGCGCATGAGCCGCAAACTGGATTTGCTGAAGCGCAGTGAATCCCCCGCCGCCGCCCACAAATCGCACACAGATCTGCGCAGCTTGTTTCACTCGCCAACGCACAAGTCTAGCAATTCAAAGACATCAGCAACGCCTACTGGAGCTTATCAAAGCAGTACGCTTAAAAAGTGCAAGTCGGGACCAATTGAAACGATCAAGCAGCGTCATCAGCATCAACAGCAACAACAGCAACATCAGCAGCAACAGCAGCAACATTTCCAGGATTCGAGCACCCAGAGCCAGAGCGCACAATCAACGCCGACGCATCAGTATCAACATGGACCAGTGACACGCCCACAGAAGGCATTGAAGAATTTCTTTCATCGCATTGGATCCACAGGCATGCTGAATCATCGTTCGCACAATCTGCTGAAAGCTTCCGAAGCATCGCAGCAATCAACACCAACTAGCCAAACGCTCTATCGCAGCAGCTCCACCAGCCAATTGTCCAGCTGCTCCTACATCAAATGCGATGATCCCACCGAAGGCTTAAATCTGCAAAGCCAACAGCAGCAGCGACAACACTTACTGCAGCAGCAGCAACAGCGCGCGCCACGCATTTCCAATCTCAAGTCGAGCAGTTGCGACGATATTGCCAAGGTGAGCAGCTGCCTTATCACCAGCAATAGCAGCAGTAGCAATGGCAGCGACAGTGTGGGCGTAGGCGGATGTGGGCTGGCAAGCAATGGAGCTAACAGCAGCAGCAACGGCAGCARCAGCAGCAGTCAGCAGGATGCCAGCCGTCGGAATGCCTTTCCCTATGCATTTTTGCGCTCACGACTTTCGGTGCTGCCCGAGGAAAATGGTGGCTCTGTGCTGTTGAAGCATCAGCAACAACAGCAGCAGCAGCAGCAGCAGCAACAACAGCAGCAACAGCAGCAACAACAACATCAACAATATCAACGGGATGCAGTTGCGGCTCATGGTGGATCGCCGTTGCCGCAGCGTCACTCGCCGGACCAACAGATGGCGAACGTGTCGCGCAATGATAGCATCACGTCCAAGGACTGGGAACCACTTTACCAAAGATTAAGTAGTTGTCTAAGTTCAAATGAGTCGGGCTATGATAGCGATGGTGGCGGCGGCCTCGCTGGTGCTCGTCTGTGCAATAATCTTAGCATCTCGGCCGGAGATACAGAATCTATTGCCTCGGGTACACTTAAGCGCAATTCGCTTATCTCGCTCAGCTCCTCGGAGGGCGTCGGCATGGGCATGGGCCTGGGCTCAGGCTCCTCTGTGCGCAACAGCATTTGTAGTGCACCCGTCTCCTTGGGCGGCTATAACTACGACTATGAAACGGAGACAATCCGACGCCGTTTCCGACAACTGAAGTTGGAGCGAAAATGCCAAGAGGATTACATTGGGCTTGTCCTGTCGCCAAAAATGGTTGTCACCAACAACAATGAACAGCAATATCGATATTTGATTGTTGAGCTGGAACCATACGGCATGGCGCAAAAGTAAGTATCGATTAAATAGCCGATAAAATATGAGGAAGTCAATAATGAAGCAGAGCCAGTGCTGCCTATTAGGCGGGTTAAAATATTATCCATACGCCTCATTTCCAATTTGTGTTTGTTTTTTAATATATTACGCAAACATTAATACTAATTTAAATTCAAATATATATACTACGCAACGTATTTGAAAACAAACTAATTAATCCCAAAAAAGAATCAAGAGTTTAACGTGCCCATCTCTTTCCTCCCATAGGGACGGACGCCTGCGCCTTGGCGACGAGATTGTCAATGTGAATGGCAAGCATTTGCGTGGAATCCAATCGTTTGGCGAGGTGCAGCGCCTGCTCAGCTGCTTTGTGGAGAATTGCATTGATCTGGTCATAGCACACGATGAGATAGCCACTGTAACTGATTTCTATACCAAAATACGCATTGATGGCATGAGTGCGCAGCGTCAGCGGCTCAGCTATGCCCAGCGGACAGACAGCCTGAGCAGCCTGCAGAGCCTGCAGCTGAATGTGGATCAGGAGCAGGAGCGGGTGCGGGCACAGGAGAAAACCGAACTCGATGAAGATCAGTGCGATGCACGTTCGCTGGCCAGCGTCAGTACGCTACCCACGCCCATGCCATTGATGCAGCATCGACGCAGCTCAACGCCCCGACACTCGCTGGATGTGAGTGCGTCGGAGTACGAGCTGTTGCGACGTAGAGCGCGCAGCTCCTCAGGTCAGCGTAGCTTGGCTCTAACACCAACACCGCTATTTAACCAACAACCAACCAATGACACCTCCTCCATATCAACAACCAATCTTAACACCAATAACAACGACTCGTACACACCAGTGTATACGAATCGGGCAGCCAGCGTCTGTGTGGCTTCCTCGCTGGCGGATGATGAGAAATGGCGGCTGCTGGCACGCAAGCGCTGCTCCGAAGGTGCTGCACTGTCCACCGACCCAGGCGCCGGCGTGGGCTCAGGCTCAGGCTCAGGCTCCAGCCAGCAGTTTGGTCAGCGTACGCACTATGCTCGCAATTCCATTAATTTAACCAATTCACATTATCGCTCGCTGAGATTTGCGCATTCGCGTCTCAGCTCATCGCGTCTCAGCTTATTCATGCAGACGCCATCAACAGCAGCGGGAGCTACAACCACTGACAGTCCAACAACTACAACAACTGATCTCACTAATAATACGCAACAACAGCCACAACAACCACAACAACCCCAACAACAACAGCAACAACACCATTCATTATATATCAAGCACTCGCCAAAAAACGTTTCACTGTTTGCGCCTAATCCATTTATACCACCCTCATCCTCATCGTCATCAACAGCAGCAGCAACAGCAGCTGTAAACAGCTCCTTGGCTCCACCAGCTGCTTCGCTAATGCATCATCGTCCATCGCTGCCAGTGGCGAAGCTAACGATACGCGATGAGGAAATGGCAGAAGTCATTCGCGCCTCAATGTGTGAGGGTGAGCTTAACACGAATAACACAATAAACAATTATCGAAGCATTCGACTTACTAAGCAATTGTTCTAATTTATATGTTGTTCAGGCAACGGACGCTGCACCCAAAAGACAATTACGTTCTTCAAAGGACCTGGTCTAAAATCTTTGGGCTTCAGCATTGTGGGCGGACGAGACTCACCCAAAGGCAATATGGGAATATTCGTTAAAACTGTCTTTCCCTCTGGCCAAGCTGCCGATGATGGCACTCTGCAAGCGGGTGAGTGGCGGAAGAAGTATTTCAATTTGTTCTCCGATGCTCAAACAGCTTCCATTACAGGCGATGAGATTGTGGAAATCAATGGACTCTCTGTGCAGGGCATGAGTCATGCTGAGACAATTGGACTATTCAAAAATGTGCGTGAGGGCACAATTGTGCTCAAGATCTTGAGAAGAAAGTAAGTACGAGCGGGGGCAGAGAATGAGAGAAAAGAGAAATTGAATACACATATTAACATCTCTTTCATTGCAGACTACAAAAAGCAAAGTCCATGGGCACATAAAAGAAGAATATAAATATATATATATACGAGTATATATACTTATACATTCATAAATCCAATCTTCATATCGACTGTATGTGTTATCATTTGTTAATACCTGAGCAGCAGGACATCATTTGTGTAACCCATCCATGAATGTATATAGACCAATTAAATGTAATATTAGTTACCCTGCCTTCATATATGTACCTTTAACTACATACATAGATAATATATGTATGTCACTAGATTTATATACAAATACCTATACAAAGCGATTTGTATGAAACAGCACACATTCAAACCTAATTTAATTGCAAGCTATACTTGAAGTAATTTAATGGAATATTAATTAAATTTTAAATTATATACATAATCTAAGCTAAGCATCCAAAATGTTGTACAATTTTTCGAAAATAAAAATGCCTACAATAAAATGCGTACCTATTGTACATTTGTGATATTTTTATTTAAATTATTTGCTTACCCAGCAAATCTAAGCACCACAACGAAATCACACCAAGCTGTAGTAAATTCATTAATACTCAGCAGTTTCACTTTTACTCGTCTCAGTCGTTGTGTCGCTTTTTACAAGCAGTCGTTGCTTTTTCACAAAATGGTCAATGCGATTCTCCAGGCTCTCTAAAAAACAGATTGGGTAAATGTAGATCAGATATATTATTAAACAAACAAATACTAACCACATCGTTTGCGCTGCAGCAATGGTTGATACTGGCGCGGCTTGGCCGCATCCTGCAGCAGCATGGCCTGTGCTTGAATCTGCGGTGTTTTGAAGTTCTGCTCAAGGAGTGCCTCCAATTGCACTAAGACATTGCGTATCATGGTGCACTTGACACTGAACTGCGTCCACTCACTCTGCACGTTCTCGATCAGCTTCTGTAGATTCTCCTCACTGTAAACCCAATTGGTTAGATCACTTTGGCTTTCGCTTTCGCTTTCCACAATCGCAATCTGCGACAAATTTGCAATTTCGTCATCCGCAGCTGGAGGGTTCGATTGACGCGTGCTGTGCGATCGAAATTCACAATGGAATAGATTCAGTGGTAGCCCAATAGCAGGCGTATACTGGGGCTTACAAGGATTGCTGCCCACATCGAGTAATTTAGTGATTATTGATGGCTGCTCGTGCTTTTGTCCAACTAGCAGCAGCACAGCCATGATGCATCGTATTTGATGCCATAGGAAAGCATTTGCTTTTATCTCCAGATAATACATAATATAGCCTGTTGAAGAAGTTCAAGTTAACTAAACTGTAACATATAGATTATATATATTCTTACCTGAGACATGCTCTAACTGGCTTTCTGTATTGCCACATGGCCTTATCTCTGCGTGCTGCAAATTACGCATGTAATTCGTAACGCCATTATGCACATCCATTTTACAAAAATTCCTAAAGTCTCCATGGCAGACGAGTAACTGACAGGCCTGCTGCATTGAGTCAATGTCCAGATCGCCCTTGGGAAAATAGTAGCGATAGGTGCGTGAAATACAATCAAATCGGGCGCTGTACTCGGGATTTCGCAACGGCATCCAGGATACGCATTGAATATTTTTGGGCAGCACCCGATTTAACAGACTGCAATAATCTATTTCAGTACTTAGCGACTCTGGCTCCATTTGAGTATCGGGTGAGTGCTTGCTACGCAAATTAATTGATATCACTTGGCAGAAGGCGCTCACTTCCTTGTCAGTGCGACCGCATCGATGGTAGTTGGAAGTAGCACGGGATTCGATGAGACAGGTGCGTTCCAAGGCACGAAACAAATATCCTTCTGCAAGAAATACTTAACCTATTAGTCGTTGATTTTATAGAAATCAAACAAACTTACCAATCGTATCAGCGGAGTCCTCCTGACAAGCAAACCCCTGATAATCCCAGCCAAAATACGTTATTTTCATCAAAACATGCCTCTGGTGCGCACTGAAATCAAATCGATATAAATAAGAACAATTAAATATAGAGAGCTTACTAACCTGGCCCAGTTAAACTTACGTTGTTTATCTTTGTTTTTAGGTACATCTTTGACGGTTTCTGAAACAACTTTATTTGGTAACTCATCTCCGTCAGCCCCGCGCAATACATCAGCATATTCAGAATTGTTTTTGTCCGCCTCGGACAGTTTCTTTTGTAAAAGATTTTTCAGCTGAAAATTGTACGCCTCCAGCTGCACAATTTTGTCAATCAATTCTGTTTTGCTTAACTGGGCCAACTCTTCGCGAGATTGGCCCTTCACACGTTTATTTATAATTATTTTCTTGTTCATTTCACATATAAACAAATGCAACACGTGCCGCTGCTCACTAGCTTTTTAAGATAGTGAGTATCGGAATTTATATCGAAAATACTCGATACATCGGGAAAAAGAATTGTATTTTTCGATTAAACGCTTTTTAGAGATATCTATCGATATGTTCCGATGGGGTAATACAATATCGAATGCGTTTAGCCTCACTACAGCAACTGCAATTATTTTTATGATTTTTACAAGAAATCTAAAATAACCACTCTTAATATGCTCGACGGATGGTACTGTCGGTCTTTGGCAAATCAAAAGACCACATCTACTAAGACAGAAAAGGAGCATCTTGAAAGTGATGAAGAAGCACATACAAAAGAATCAACAATGCGTGGGACAGCTGCCTCAGCAGCCGCAGGAGCAGCAACTGCAGCATCTAGTTCGACGTCGACTGGCACAGCAAATGAAAATATAGATTATAAAGAGCGCTATAGAAACTTAAAGCGAAAACTAAAGTTTCTCATCTATGTAAGTAGTAATAGGTGTTTGTAGACATATTCATTTAATTTCCGTATTTCTGTATTGACAGGAAAACGAATATTTTCAAGACTTGCTACACACAAATCAAAGACGTTTATTAAAAGTGTCGCGCGACCGATCGTTCTTGATCGATCGCCTCTTGATATATGAGAAGCCTGCCAAAGATTCTAGTGACAGTGATGTCACTGATAGCTCCAATTCAGATACGGAGCAACCGACTTCAACGGTTGCCCAGGCGCAACCGAACTTTGACCAATCGAAGGAGCCTGCAGCTATGCGACGCAAGCACAAGGAAAAGCCTGCTGTTAATGTGCTTGCTCCCACAGGTCAGCCACCTACCGTTGGCGGGGCAACTCGAGGACGTAGACGTAAAATTCTGACCGGCGGTCACGCTCAACAGCCACCAGCAAAGAAACTGCTGACGGCCACGGCAACTGTCTCGCCGTCTGTCCAACAGCATCAGCAGATAGCCACAAAGGACGGCTCTGGCAATCTGAGTACAGCAGAAATAGCGCGACAGCTGCAAGAACGTCGACCAACTCCCATTGAATTTATGAGTCCCGAATGCGCCTCCGCCACTGTGCCGGTTACGATGCTCAGCGATGAAAGCCCATCAAAAATGTACGGAAAATTATTTATGAAATGAGCTCTATTAAAATGTTCTTGTTTTACTTGCAGCTATCCCAACGAAAGCTTGCAGCATCTCATGGAGGACGACTCGCCGTCTCACGTCGCTGCCGAGGAATGTGTGCCCATGGTATACACAAACTAATGTATTATTATTAAAAAACATACAAATTGCAAATGAATAATTTGAAATTTTACTCCTTTGACTTGCTAATAAATGTAATTAAAGCTATGTTTTCTCCGCGAATCATCACTTGGGGTAGTTCACGCCGCAGCTGTACGTTCTTACGATTTAAGCTTTTCCCGTGAACTTCAGGCAATGTGATTCCCAATCGTCGAAGTCGATCGACGCATTCCTCTGTTGCATCTGCTGCTGTGCCACAAATGTCTTGCTTGCCAAATTTATATTTGCGACGCTGCCACACCTCAACAGCGTTCTTTAACAATATGTTCCACTGCTTGTCGAAGGCGACAAGATCACCCTCGATACGGCCACCAATGGCGTGCTCCTTTCGTAGGTAAACCCGCAGACGCGTTGTATCCTGCTTCTCCTCGCCGGGCAAATACTTTTGCAGACATGCCAAGGGGCCTTCCGCACTGGCCATATGCGTGAACAGATTCCGGTGATATTTTCCTTTCACCACTCCTTCCACGGGCATTTGATGCGGCTGGAAACGTCGTTCACTCAACGCATCCACATTCGAGGTTGAGTTAAAGGGATTTTTGTTGTTTGTTGCCTTCGGTTGCTCATTGTTTTTGGGTCGTTTATTCAACTGCCAGACGCCAACCTTTACAAGTGCACTTTCAAATGCGGCAAGATTTTGATATAGGACTTTTGGCGCCCTATTTGTAACCTTGAAGTCGGCTGTATATAGCGCACGCAGGGAATTGAATCGCTCACTGCCCACATCCAGCTCCTCTGCATTGTTACCATCCACTTCATTTTTTGTATCGGACATGTTTACTATCTTACTGTAAACAACAAAAATAAGAGTGATATTCCCTCTCTTATACTCCTATAGAAATTTGAATGCAATTATTCGATTATGATTTGAATGACCATCACGAAAAAGTATTATAATCGTTTGCATGTGTGTGTATAATGTATGTATGTATATAAGCATACTGGCTTGTATACAAACCAGTGTTGACAGCTTAGCCTATTTCAGGCTAGATTTATCCTTTTAAAAGTGGTGAAGCATATTAATAATAGACACATTGAAAATGAGTATGCGATGCAATAGGCCATATAATAATTATAAATATTAATATGTACATAAACTACTTATCACATTAACTTTTAGCAATATGAAACATACATATATATTCTTAAGAAGCGTAATAATGTAATCCGATTTTACTTTGCGTGAATGTTTGTCTATATTGTTCGTATGTTCGCTGTTCACAGAAGAGCGCTGCATAAGAAGAGCGAGGAGCGCAGAAGAAGATCATTTAAGTTCTCCATATGTATGCAGCAGGATTCATTTGGTATTTATATTTAGAGAAAGTTTATATTGGCAGAGAGTGTTCCCATTGGTCACTTTAAGCTCAGTTTCAACGACCCCTACCTAGAGTCAGGCTCAACATTTGAGTGCGTCGTAGTGGTTGAGTGAAAGTCGACCTACATAAAGGGCTGCAGCTGCAGCATTTCTTCAGTCACCCAGGTCTGGTGGTGGTCAGTCGTGCAGTGCAGCGAAGTGAAGTGTGATCCTTAAGCTAAGCTAAAGACTTAAAACAAATACTTAGAGGAAATACTTATGACTATACAGACAACAACAGCAAATCCATATCGTATATTAGAATAGCTGCTCTGCATTGAGAGGGTATCTCCTTATCGGGCACTCTCACCTCTTACTTTCAATCGTGCATATGCATGAAAACAATACCATATGTACGTAGAAACATACAAACTTAGAAAGCTCTAATTATCTTTGGTTTCTGTTGTTCCAGCTCTTCTTAGAGCTTTTGGAAACTTTCTCAATCTAGCGAGAAGCCAAATGTTTAGCAAATGCGTCTTTCAACTAATAACTATACGGACATAAAATGAATCAAAATATATCATGTAAGTTAGAATATTAAAAATATACATATGTATATGTATTTATATTTGTATATAATAAATCCACAGTGAACGGCTATGGGCTTTCCAATAAACTGTTGATCGGCATGGGCGTCAGCCTGATAGCTGTAGGAGGCGCCGGCTACCTGGTTTATCGACACTTGCATCGCGATGTGATGCCATCGAAATGGAGACGAGTAGGGAAATTGCAACGGGTGAATGTGTTCCCAGTCAAGTCGTGTGCTCCATTGGAGGTTGACCCCCAGCAGGAATACGATTGTGACGTGCTTGGCATTGGCATTGGAAATGTGCGGGATCGAAAATTCATGTTAGTCAATGATAATAATGAAATGATAACCGCCAGAGGTTATCCGCACATGGTTAAAATTCAGCCAAAGGCGCTGCCTAATGGGTTGGTGTTCAGTGCACCTGGAATGCCCGACTTGGAACTGGATTTCAAGCAACTGAAAACACTTTCTGAAGATGTACACACCTCCGTTTTTGGCGTGGCAATAGACGTAATGCTGTGCGGCAGCCGCTTTGACAAATGGTTTTCACAGTTTATTCTTAAAAAGGATTTCGGCGTGAAACTAGTTTACTATCCATATGCAGGACCAGTTCGCAAGACTTGTCCAGATCTGAAACATATGCCTTATATAAGACAGCAAGATTCTGTAAGTAAATTATTTTCTGATCGAGTATTTCTTAACTTGTAGGAATACTCAAAAGCTTAGGTCATATATTATTGATATTATCTATAAATTATTGAGTCTCTGCTAATCAAGTCAACCTATTTAAACAATGTTGGAAGGTTGGAATCCAAAATGTTATACCACTCTCTATACTAGGAGCTATTATAAAGGACTAGCACCGATGTTTATTTCATGAAGCCAATACATGTAAATATAGACAATATAAATTACAAATCCATTTCAGGGCACACTCAATGATGCAACCAGCTATATGCTCATGAATTTAGCTTCAGTAGATGATTTAAATACTCGATTGAAGACTCCGGTGAATCCGTTGCAATTCCGTGGAAACTTTGAACTGAAAATGGATGTCGATGAGCCATACAGTGAGGATCACTGGCAGTGGATTCGCATTGGCAACGATGCCGTTTTTCGTATAGTTGCACCTTGCACCAGGTGCATCTTGCCAAATATTAATGTTCAAACGGCTGAGCGGAATGCCGATGGTGAGCCGCTAAAAACACTGCGCAGGTAGGTGGAGGTCACACAGAGGAGACTGTATATGATACTATATTCATTTTATACCTAACATTTGTTATTCACAGCTATCGACTGTTCAACTACTCGTCTCCAGCGTTGGGTGTGCACATGGGTCTACGGCATCCAGGAAACGTCAAGGTTAATGATGTTATTTACGTAGAAGACAAGTGATATTGAAGCTCTTTTACTTTTATAAACATTCTGCATAAATTCATTTAAATCATGTACATATAATAAAAGTAAATAATTCGTTTATTTTCGAAGAATATTATTCATTCTATTCATTCATCCGCTACTTTATCTAAGCAATTGTAGTCCTATTCCATCTCTTATACTATAATATAAATTTGAATATAGCTATTCGATTATGATTTGAAAAATTATCGTACAACATTATGACACCATATGGGTATATTAACTTGGAGTGTATTGATAATTGCACCTATGTATATATTAGTCGATTGTTTAATTTATTTCTGTAGATAATATAACATTAGTTTGAAATATATTTTTAGAAGTACAGAAAATCTTTGAGTATTTAATAATGGAGAACAATTTGAAGCGATCATGCAATATGCAACCAGGGTATATTCTAGTCGAGCTCTCCACTTTACATAACTTGTTATACCTGTTGCATTCCAAAGCCTGAATTGAAATATTTTACTTTTCTTACTAGGCCTCTATTTGTATGTGTATGCATGCATATGTATGATGTGTGAGCCACACACAGAAATCTACAAAGCTCCATTATCATTGCTTTTCTTTTATTTACTATAGCTCTTCACAGAGCTTTTTGGAACTTTTTTATTGACCTAAGCAACAAGTGTGACAGTGCGTGTTTCAGTTGATAAGTGGACGGACAAGATGAGTGCAAATCTTTCATGCAAGTTTAACTGTTTAACAATATATGTATCGATCAAAAGAAAATATATGTAAATATATGTATCTACAGTGAACGGCTATGTGCTTTCCAATAAACTGTTGATCGGTATGGGCGTCAGCCTGATTGCTGTAGGAGGCGCCGGCTACCTGGTTTATCGRCACTTGCATCGCGATGTGATGCCATYGAAATGGAGACGAGTCGGGAAATTGCAACGGGTGAATGTGTTCCCAGTCAAGTCGTGTGCTCCATTGGWGGTWGACCCCCAACAGGAATACGATTGTGACGTGCTTGGCATTGGCATTGGAAATGTGCGGGATCGCAAATTCATGTTAGTCAATGATAATAATGAAATGATAACCGCCAGAGGTTATCCGCATATGGTTAAAATTCAGCCAAAGGCGCTGCCTAATGGGTTGGTGTTCAGTGCACCTGGAATGCCCGACTTGGAACTGGATTTCCGTCACTTGGAGTCGCCCTCTAAGGACGTACGCACTTCCGTTTGGGGCGTGGCAATAGACGTGATGCTGTGCGGCAGCCGCTTTGACAAATGGTTCTCACAGTTCATACTTAAGGAGGATTCGGGCCTAAAGCTTGTATACTATCCATATCCAGGACCAGTGCGTGCCACTAATCCACGACTTAGGCATATGCCTTATATAAAACAGGCCGACTCGGTAAGTACAGCATTTTCGCCCCAAATAAGTAAGTAGGCACAAACTTTATAGTAGAACAGTTTTCCAGCATTCTTTTTTCAATTGATAAACTTTATCTGGGATATCTACGGACTATATAATTATTGACTCTCCACAGATCGTAAAAATCCTAAAAGTTACCAATTATACATACATTTTAGGGCACACTCAATGATGCAACTAGCTATATGCTCATGAATTTAGCTTCAATAGATGATTTAAATACTCGGTTGAAGACTCCGGTGGATCCATTGCAATTCCGTGGAAACTTTGAATTAAAAATGGATGTTGATGACCCGTACAGTGAAGACCACTGGCAGTGGATTCGCATTGGCAACGATGCCGTTTTTCGTATAGTTGCACCTTGCACCAGGTGCATCTTTCCAAATATTAATGTTCAAACGGCTGAGCGGAATGCCGATGGTGAGCCGCTAAAAACATTGCGCAGGTAGGTGGAGGTGACACAGAGATGATTATATATGTTATATATGTTCATTTACTAATTATTCACAGCTATCGACTGTTTAACTATGCCTCTCCAGCGCTGGGTATACATTTGGGTCTACGGCAAGCAGGAAGCGTTAAGGTTAATGATGTTATTTACGTAGAAGACAAGTGAAACTGGACCTGGTAACTGAGGATATACACTTTATATACATACATTTTTATTCCATATAACAGAGATTATTGATAGTACGAAACTTTGTATATGATAGTAATAATAATAAACATTGCTGCAACAACTACCTTATGCACTGCCAAATTATTATTGAATGCACGACTGCCAAGCGAGGCCGCCGCATGCCATGCTTACAATTACGTAGATAACAAATATGATTACTAGGCCGACGACAACATAGATCCGAATGTTCTTCCAAAACATTTGACGCGCCAAGTTACGCGAAGCCTTACGGAATGCAACTGACTATGGGATTAAATTATAATTGAAATTAATTTTTGTTATAAATTTAACTTAAAGCTTCACTTACGTTATTGCTTAAGTTCTCTGTTTTATTGACCAACAGTTCCAGTTTCTCGCCGCGATCGCGCAGACTATCTGGAAATAGGAGAATTGTTAAAATAACTGAGAAGTTTAATAATTCTTAATTGGTTACCTATATTCTTAATCATAATATCTTTAAGTTCATCAATTTGGCCATGAACTCGCGATATGGTATCTACTTCTCGCGATTGACTAAAGTAGACCATTTGCTGGGACAAAACTTTCGAGAACTCCGTATTCATGGCATAGGCAATTGCAGTGGCAACCTGTAGGCCATATGTATGAATAAATTTCTGCTTGATGTCCGCCAAGAAGAGGAAAGCGCGCGAGCGTTCAAATTCCTGTATAAAAATTAATGTTTATAATTCTATACAATACACCTAATTAATATTCAACTTACATTGTCAGTTATGCACATATAAATTATCTTATTTTCGCAAGTATAATGTATCAAATAATCGCCGTGTGTATAGGTCATTTTATGATTATGCACACCTATTCTACCCATAATTTGTTCAGTTACTTCTGCAAAATTTCCCACACATTCGGCGAACTTTGCCAGCACCGTAGTGCCACGAGCTATAACACTATATAATATCGGCATTATGTGAGTATTGCTGCACTCAAGCCCTAGATATTTACGCGACCGCAAAGGCGTGGTGACTAACGCGTCTTTATTCTTCTCGCTTACTAAATTTTATCAGCACAACAACAAACAATTGTGCTCGCTGTCGTTGTGATGTTTTCCTGTTAAAGCAAAGAATTGATAATAGTTAATGGTAAACAGTTTTCTCCATTCCTTAAATCTTTTTTTTTTTTTTTTTTTTTTTTTGCTGGTAACTTACACAGAGCCAACGTAAACATGTAAGATTACAGTGTATTGTTGCTCCAATATCTAAATGGTAATATGCGTCATTTGTGTGCGCGTAAAGCAGCAAACAAAATAGTTAAATCATATTTAGCCGAATTATTTGAAGAATACCGAATGAAATTTATACCAATTTTAAATGGTTTAGTCGACTAACTTCTAGACAAAAACGGTCTTTGTATTTTTATAAATGCACTTGCACTTAATTTATGGATGTGAGTTTGGTCAAACTATATCGATGGCTGGTTAGTTTGAAACTATCGATTATATCGATTATATCCGTCTGCATGTGATAGTCAATAATATTGCTAATTTAATAATACCACTAACCAAAGTTCTCTGGTTAGTGATAATACACAATAAATTTTAATATAAAAACTTTATATTCGTGGTTTTAGGCTTAAATTTATGTTATATTAATTATTATACACATAAAACATAAAAGATCAGAATCTTTAAAGGAATACCTGCAACATAAGTATCAAGTGTCTGGCATCGCTGATACTGAATCACGGTTATGGCAGTTCCATCTGAGGATCAAAGGAGTGATAAGAAGATTGCGTGGCTAAAGATGATGTGGTCACATATTGGTGAGAATATGTCAAAATAACCGACCCTCATACATATAATATCATATTTTATTCAACCTTATATGTAGACTACGCCGTTAGAATATGTATTGTGATATTCGTTGCTGACCTCCTACAGAGATTGTTCTTCGTATTTAAGGAATACCTGTGCCACCGTATTTATTATTTACCTGAGGATCGTCTAACAACAATTATAAAGCGCGCGTACACGTACAATATCAAAACCGTATATCTAGCATTACTTGTGATATTCACGGGATTGACCCGCTTTGGAAGAACTAATAACTTAGCTCTTTTGCTGCCCAGAGGCGAACCGCTTCTTCTTATTCCTCTTTATTGGATTTTCACCTATGTACAACTGAGCCATAGTTCATTGAGCTACGCTCACTGGATACGCGATTCGCATGGCCTGGACTATGCAGCTGGCATGGCCTCGAGCTATTTTCATGGCTATCTGAAACTCTCGCTACCGGAACGAGAGAATGACGGCCTGCAGAAGCGAATGGAAAAATATGAGGATATGCAGAAAGTAAAATTCGGGATAAAACGCCTAATTATACTAATTCCAGATGAGATGTTTGTGAATCGGGTTATACAAAGTGAATGGCTCGAAAAGGCTAAGGTAAGTATAATATAAACTTCAAGTTTAGATGCCGGTTTAATTCAAAGATTCTCGCTCTCAGCCACTGGAGACACAATTTATAAATAGGGCCGGTGTAAATCGCCCCTTCAAGCATGCGGTCTATAGGCTCAATAAACAAATAAATGGAACCACATACTACTTTGCTATGGAGGGTGCCACGCCAATGCTAACATTTTTCGAATCAATGCATTTCCAATTGTCGGCCACTTGGCAAATGCAGGAAATGAAACGTGAGATCTGGTTGAAGTTTTGTAAACATCTGCAAGAGCTCCTTAACAACTGGCCGGAAACACGGCGCGAAGTACAACTTATTATATATAATTGTATGCGAATGCATGTTTTATAAATATATAATGCAATTAATACACAATAATTACTTTCAGCTCACAAACAAAACGGAGAACTACAAGATGTAGGCGATGTGCTAATCTCTCACGTTCTGACTCACATTGAGAAGGAGAAAAAACATGGACTTGAATAACTTAGCTTAGCTAGGACAGCATGAAACTAGAATACATAGGTTTAAAGTAAGCAAAACTTAACATACTTTTTTAATAAATAAAATTGATTCTCTCTTATTATTGCTAAGCGATGCTTTCCAGTTCTTTGAGTTTAGCCTCAGCTGTTGCTAGCATTCGACTCTTCCATTTTTCATATTCTTCGATTTCAGTCTTTTCGCTACTCTTCTGCTTCTTGCTCAGAACATTCTGCTCCTCCTGCTGTGTGAGTTTGTTTTTTACGCCCGCCGTCGTCACATTTGAATCCTTTAAATGTTTTGCGATCAGGCGCTCAAATTGTTGCTCAAGCTGCTGCCATTGTGTGGGTCGCAAGTTACTAAATGGCATTAATTTGGACTTGGATACTTTCTTCTTTAGCAGGCGACAGGCGTGGAATACGGCCATTGCGGCATATTGTGGATGATCTGGATCAGCATCGTCACGTGCGAACTTTTTGAACATAGCTAGGATATCTTCCGCCTTATGTGCGACCTCGTTCAAGCTGAGCTGCACACAAATATCTTTGATGCTAGCCAATTTATTCAGTTCAAGCAATTTCTCAAACATTCGCTTGTTATTGGCATAGTGAGTTTTACGCAATGCGGAGAGTTTAAGCGCCTGCTCTTTGTCAAAGCCAATATCTAACACACTGCAAGCAATATCCGCGCACAATACTATTTTTCCATATTCATTTATTTGCAGAGGAACATTTGTCGATCGAAGCTCTAGCAATCTGAGGAGCTCCGTTGTTTTCCTAGTGATGGTTTAAATTCATTAAATATATATTCAGGAACTTTATTATTGCTAGAACTCACTCTAATACATTGGGCTCTTCGCCAAGACCCATTTTCGAAATTAGCTGTTCAACCAATGTCGTCATTTCAGCAAAAAAAAAAAAAAATTGTTTACTTTTATTCAATTGTTTTCCGTTTTTGGCGCGAATATGTCAGATGTGCGCGGCCCTAGAGCTGCCAGACTTTGTAAAATTAATTCAATAATGCATACTGATGCAGAAACTATCGATAGAGAGCTAGAGATTGCTATCGCCGGTAAAAGTCTAATTTAACCCTTACCCTGGCCCCGAGTTTAATTTGCCATTGGAGCAAATATGTTTATTGAAATTTGATTTTTTTGTCCTCCTAAATGTCCCCTAAGATTTACTACTTTTCCACAGATAAGCGTGTGTATTCCCATTTCTTGTTTTTGTATTATATTTATTTTGTTGTTGAATTTGAAGAGTCCACAGGCTGCAAATTAGCCACGAACTGCGCATTTTTGTGTATTTTCTGTTATAGAAAATATTTAAAAAATAATGCCTAGCCGATTTATAATCAGTTGAACATATTTCGAATTTAAATTATATCTCATTTTCACTATCATCTGCGTTTTTGGCTGCTTCCCCAGCTTCAATAGCCTTTTGGATCCACTCAGCGCTATTTATGAGATGTACACCCTTCGTTTCCTTACCAACGATGCCCATTTCAAAGCGGAAATCTTTGTCCTTCAGTTCGTCGTGCACTTGATAGATGCTGCAAGTAAATACATAAATAAGTAAACTGAAGCGCAAAGCGTTGATCGAATCAACATACATTTTGCCACCACTTTTGACCAATTCCTCGGTGGTCATGTCAGAGAACTTAAACTTTTCCATTTCTGTTTTGGCCTGTTGCTTGGCCTTGCCACTGGCGCAGGCATAATAGCCAAACGAATTACCAGACGGCTCAATTTTGTACAATTGAGGTCCATCAACCTCATCCCACGATGCGAGTATTACAGATAATCCAAACGGACGCACAGCGCTGTACAGAGTGTAGGCGTGCAGGTAGCCGGATACGCGATCGCATAAATGTTTCAGGGGAATGGTGCGTTCAAACTGTTGACGGAAATTCGCTGCTTCTTGTCGGGCAATGTCGGCCACAAAATTTCCATCAGCCATCAGTCCAGCTATGGCCATGCCGATGTTCTTTTCAATAGTAAAAATGCGACTGGCTGCATCAGGTTCATAGAGCTGATCTGCAACAATTTTTTCGACGGCAAGCACAACACAATCCTTTCCTCTAATGCCAATAACGGTTCCGCTCCTCTCTACTGCTTTGGAGGCATAGTCAATCTGAAAGACGCGGCCATCAGGAGAGAACTGCGAAGCCGACAGATCATACTGCAAACCAAAATGATATATTTATACATCCACTGTAAAATTAATATTAATATACTTACACCGGTGCCAATTGTACTCATTTTTGTTGTGAATATGAAATAGAATTGATATTAGCGAAACCGAATCTACGCGAATTAAACTCGCAAACAGAAGACGATGATTTGACGGCTTTTCATTTGACAGCTGCAACTCATGTTCGATGTGACCAGCCTTTGCAATTTTTGCAAAAGTGTTGATTAATGCCTAATTTCTAAAGATGAACCAGCAACTAAATTATTATTTATAGATCAAAACTTCCAAAATATAATGCAATAAACACGTTGGAAAATCTTTAAAATGCTTATGAATGTCTTTAAATTATAACTTATTAAATCACATACTTAAGGTTCACCAAAATATGCACGAAAAACAATTGTAGCTTTAAGTCCCTTATCGACTTTGTTTTAATTGAAAATTTCGATACGATTTAGAATACATATACAAAGTTAATTTGACTGTTATTTTTTTGATAATTATATATTTAGTTAAATGGTTACTATTTATGATATATGTTTGCACACTCTGATAACGGTTTACACGAACCAGTTCGTTTGGAATATTCGTACCAGTTCCAATGTGCACGCGGTAGTAATTTCAATTTTGTAAACAAAAATAAAAGCATGCTGGCAACCGTGAGTGATAAACAGTAAGTAAAGATTAGCAATTATATGGATAATTCGTATTGAATATATTATTTGTAGATATGCAGCAGATGCTCGCTACACAAACTTTTATGCCGGGCACGATATTGCCTGGGCTGAAAATGGAGAGCATATTTATTGTTTAAATGGCGATGTTGTAAATCAAGTGAATGTGGAAACATCGCAAATTGTGTGCAGCTTTGGAGTAAATGTTTCCGACGGTAGCGAGAAATCAAAAACCTCTGATGGACTCGACGATGCTAAGATGGACGAGGACAACATCTATTGCTTTGCAATGTCACGTGAACATTTGGCGGTTGCACATGGCAGCGGCTTGTTACGTCTCTGGGAGCTGAGCACGAAAAAGTTGGTAAAACTTTGGAAGAGCCAGCACAAGGGACCCGTTGTGCGCATCGAGTTTAGCACGTGTGGCAATTTTATCTGTACCAGTGGTGGAGCAGATGCCACGATACGCGTATGGGATTTCACCAACAACAGCTGTCTGTGCGCCTTAAAAGATTTTCCCGGCCCGGCGCTGCTGTTGCGCTTCCATCCGAGTCCACTAAAGAGTGAAATTTATGCTGCTGGCGCTGACAATACGATATATTGTTGGGATTACGGCACAAAGACACTGCTGCACAAACTGCGCGGACACATCTCTCAGGTGACGGGCATTAGCTTCAAGAGCACGGCTGCTGAATGCGATCAATTGGTCACTGTGAGTCGCGACAAGGTGCTGATTGCTTGGCAATTGAATGCAGACTCGAAAAGCACCTGGAGCCAGTCAAAGGTTATTCCCTTATACGTTGAGCTTGAGGGTGTCGCGCACATTGCGGACGGCGCGCAAGTGGTGGTCGCCTGCCGCTCGGGCAAGCTTCAGCAAATCGACACGGAATCATGGAAAATACGTGATCTGTTGGTGGAGACAGATTTCGAAATAAGTCGCCTGCTCTACTGCAGCACCAGGCAGCAAGTGACGCTGATTACAACAGAGCAAAATATCATCGTATACAATGTGAGCACCGAGAGCGAGAGAGCTGAGCTGAAACTGGTAAAGCAGCTTATTGGCTACAATGATGAGATTTTGGACATGTGCTTTCTGGGTGACAATGATCGGTACCTGGCCGTGGCAACCAATAGCAAACACTTTAAGCTCTATGACACCGAGCAGAATATGAATTGTCGTTTGATTTGTGGACACTCGGATACGGTCATGTCGCTGGCTGCATCCCATAAACTGCTGATCTCGGTGGGCAAGGACTGCAGCATACATCTGTGGAAGTTGTCGCACGAGATTGATTGCTTCCTGCAGCCGTTGACACAGCAAACCAATTGCCATACGGCGACCATTGGTTCCGTGGCCATAACGCATAATGGAGCCAAGGGCTTCGCCTCTGCCTGCCAGGATGGCAGCATGAAAGTGTGGCAATTGTCGCGCGACAAACAAGATCGTAACAAGTATGCCTTCTCGCTGCTCTATGCAGCGCTAGCCCACGACAAGGAAGTCAACTGCGTTACATATGCGGTCAACAACAAAATCCTGGCGACTGCATCACAGGACAAGACGGCAAAGCTTTGGTCGGCGGACTCAAATACACTGCTTGGCGTGCTGCGTGGTCACACTCGTGGTGTGTGGTGCGTGCGCTTCTCGCCTGTGGACCAAGTTGTGCTCACCTCATCGTCGGACTGCAGCCTGCGTCTTTGGTCTATTGCCAATTTCAGTTGCCTCAAGCGCCTGGAGCAAGAGTGCACGATATTGCGTGTAGAGTTTCTAGATCATGGCAAATTTATACTCTCTGCCGCCTCGGACGGCCTGCTCAAGCTGTGGAACATCAAGACCAACATCTGTGTCCAGTCCATCGACGAGCACAGCGATCGTGTCTGGTCTGTGGCGGTGTCCAGTTGCAGCAATCGGTACTTCTATACAGGCGGTGCGGACTCCAAGCTGATTCGCTTTACTGACGTTACGGAAACAGTGCGCAGCGAAGCCCTGGATCAACGACAAGCCATGCTGGAGCAAGAGCAAACACTCCAGTGCCTGCTGCACGCTCAAGAGCAGCTTGAAAAGGCATTCAAGCTGGCCCTGGTGTTGGACAAGCCAAAAGCCACCTACGACATCATCGGCAGCTTTGTGCGCAAACGTGACGCAGCCGCAGTGCGTCAACTGGTGGATCAACTCAATTTGGACCAGCGACTGGTCTTGCTGCAGCACGTGAAGGCGTGGAGCACCAACTCACGCCACTCGTACATAGCCAACCTGATTCTGCAACATTTGCTGGGCGACGCTCTGGTGCACTCTACGCAAAAGTTCTACAACAAAGGAAATCTGGTCGAAGTGCTGACCCCTTATGTGCAACGGCATTTCAAGCGAGTTTCCGAACTGAACAAGGATTTGGCTTTTATGGAATTCATCGTTAAGTGCATGTAGAAATGTTTATGAAATGCTGTTGAACTTCATTTTCAGTTGTAATTCATTTCATTAAATAATGAAAACTAAGTTTGTATATCTGTAACGAAGTGTTTGAACTGGTGTAGAATTCTTGGAAAACTTAGGCAACTTAGATTTAGAGCATTCTCTTGATTTAATCATTCAAGGACCAGGAGTAGATCGTCGCCTGCCAATTTCATTCCTTTCTGCACTTCGATTTTCTTAACAGTACCTGAATCTGGAGACCGAACGATCATTTCCATTTTCATAGCTGATAGCACGACGAGTGGCTGACCCTTCTCGACCTTGTCGCCTTCTTTGACACGTATATCAATAACATCACCTGGCATTGGGGCGCCCACTTCACCTTTTACATCTGATCTAGCCTTCGGATGCACTCGGATAACCTTAAAATACGATAAATTCATATTAACTGAATCGATATTTAAAGAGACATCTATCTGCCCTTACCTTTAGAGCCTCCTTGTCGGGAATGTGGACTGAACGCATTTCACCGTTCATTTCAAAGAAGACCTCGCGTGTGCCATTCGGTCTGAGATCGTTTGCTATGGCCAATGGCTTTATGAACAATACCTTGCCACGCTCTAGGCTAACTTCAATCTCTTCACCCATTTCGGGGCCCACGATAAAGATTCGCGTGTCAAGCTTATCGATACAGCCAAATTTTTGGCGGCTTTGCAGGAATTCATTGGTCACTTGCGGATAAAGCGCCGCTGACATGATATCTCTGTCAGAAATTCTTCCATAACTTTTAAGTAGTTCCGCTTTTAACTTGTCGAAATCGAATGGCTCAAGCTTACTACCAGGTCTCTCATCAATTCGAGGCATATCCTTAAGTACATCTGATCGAAATGGCTCTGGAAACCCGCCATGCGGAATACCCATATATCCCTGTAGGTACTCAGTCACCGATTTGGGAAACGACAACTCTTTGGCCTTCTCCAAAACTTGAGCACGACTAAGCTTATTCTGTACCATGAACTGAGCCAAGTCACCCACAACCTTTGACGATGGAGTGACCTTAATTATGTCTCCCAAAATAATATTGGCTTCTCTGTACGCTTTCTTCACTTCCTCAAACAAATCACCCAGACCTAGGGAGAAGGCCTGGAACTGCAGATTGGTATATTGACCACCGGGGATTTCGTGCAGGTAGACATCGGCATTTCCTGATCTCATTGTTGTGGTACATTCAAATGGTCCGTAGAGAGCACGGGTTTGCTCCCAGTACGCCGAGTACTGGGAAACATCTCCTAGCTTCAGCTGTGTGTCCAAGGGAGTGCCCTGAAGAGAGGCGACTACCGCTCCCATACTTGGCTGCGAGGTCATTCCCGACATGGAGTCGACGGCCACATCTACAACATCAGCTCCGACCTGAGCGCAGGCGATCATACACGCAACACCGGCACCCGAGGTGTCATGAGTGTGGACATGGATTGGAACGTCGGGATGCTTGTCGCGGATGGCAGTGATCAGCAGCCTATAATTCGAGCGGATCAATGAAATATATRCTGGYAACTCAASGAATGGTTCACACATACTTAGCAGACTCTGGCTTCAACAGACCCGCCATGTCCTTGATGCAGAGGACGTGAGTGCCCGCCTTGACGAGCTCGTCAGCCAAGTTTGTGTAGTACTTGAGATCGTATTTGGTTCTCTTGGGATCTCCCACATCTCCGGTGTAGGAGATGGCCGCCTCTACAACACCGCCTGCCTTGCCTGCCGCCTCCATGCCGAGGATCAAGTTCGGCAAGTAGTTAAGGGAGTCGAACACTCGGAAAATGTCCATGCCAGTTTGCACCTGAAAGAGAAGCATAGATGTCATTCATTGTTGTCTCTATAAGAATGCTACAGGATCTTACCGCTAGCTCGCAGAACTTGTAGACCACATTGTCTGGGTAACTGGTGTATCCAACGGCATTGGCGCCGCGCAACAGCATTTGGAAWGGAATGTTCGGAATGMGCTTGCGCATCTCCTCCAGGCGCTCCCATGGGCATTCATATAGAAACCGTAGAGCTACGTCAAACGTGGCTCCACCCCAGTTCTCCAGTGAATACAGATTGCTAAACTTGTGCGCCACAAAGGGTGATATTTTGAGAAGGTCGTGGGTGCGAACACGCGTGGCCAACAGAGATTGGTGTGCGTCCCGGAAAGTAGTATCCATTAAAAGTAAATTCTTTCGGGAACGCACCTCCTTGGCAAACGCTTCGGGACCTTCACACTTAAAGATCTCGCGTAGACCCGGTGGTAACTCCGTCTCTGTGGGAGATAGAGGCGATTGGTAAATCACTTTTGTTGTTGACTTTTCAGCATCTGCAGTTCACGTACCTTTGGGAATTTCGGGCGCCTGTACCTTGACTTTCAATGGCATTAGAGATGTACCCATTGGCGTAATGGGTCCGTTGACCAAAACTTCACCCAAATACATTAAAAGCTTTTGCGCGCGATTGTGAATAAAGACTGACGATTTAGTCAGATCTGGATTCTCATCTATGAAGTGAGTATCCAATGCGCAGAGCAAGAACTTCTCGTCGTTGAATACATTTAGGAGAAATGGAATATTCGTCTTGATACCCCGAATACGGAATTCACGCAGTGCTCGGCTCATTTTAGATGCTGCGATTTCCAAATCACTGGCATGGGCTATCACTTTGACCAGCAGCGAGTCGTAGTAAGGCGAGATGATAGCTCCAGGATAGGTCGAGGCGCCGTCTATTCGTATGCCCATACCCTCGCCGGAACGGAACACTTCGATGCGTCCCATATCAGGTTGGAAACCCTGTTCCGGATTCTCACTGGTTATGCGGCACTGAATAGCAAAGCCACGTGGCACAATCTTTTCTTGGGTGAGACCCATCTCCTTGAGGGTTTTACCCTCGGCAATGCGTATCTGAGACCGAACCAAATCGATGCCGGTAATCTCCTCAGTCACAGTGTGCTCTACCTGCAATCTGGCGTTCACTTCGATGAAGTAGAAGTTTCCGGACTCATCGCACAGGAACTCCACAGTGCCAGCATTCTCGTATCCCACATGCTTGGCCAGCCGGACTGCTGCCTCGGTCATCTTGGCGCGAGTTTCAGCAGGCAGGCGTGGAGCTGGTGCGATCTCAACGACTTTCTGATGGCGACGCTGAATAGAGCAGTCGCGTTCATATAGATGCACTACGTCGCCAGTTTTGTCCCCCAATATCTGGACTTCAATATGACGTGGACGTTCAATATACTTCTCAATGAACATTGCGCCATTGCCAAAGGCCGCCTTGGCCTCGGAGCTGGCACGCTCGAAGTTCTCTGCAACTTCCTCCATTTTGCGAATCACACGCATGCCACGGCCGCCACCGCCATGAGCGGCCTTTAAAATGACGGGGAGACCGTTCTTTTCGCAAAACGCCGAGGCTTCCTCCTTGGAATTGACTGGGCCATCTGTACCAGGAACAATGGGTACTTTCGCAGCTATTGCTGCAGTACGTGCAGCAACCTTGTCCCCCATGTTCTGCACCACCTTGGGCGAGGGGCCGATAAATCGAACTCCGGCATCGGTAACGGCCTGGACGAAGTCGCTGCGCTCGGAGAGGAAACCATAACCGGGATGCACTGCATCAATGTCGTTCTCCTTGCAAATGCGAATGATCTCTGGAATGCTGAGGTAGGCTTCCACCGGTGCTAGACCTTTGCCGACCATATATGACTCATCGGCCTTCTGACGATGCATTTGCATTTTGTCCTGCTCCGAGTAGATGGCCACCGACTTGATACCCAGCTCATTGCAGGCGCGAAATACGCGTATCGCGATTTCCCCTCTATTGGCTACCAGGATCGATCGTATCGCTTTGTTTTTCCCCTGTGTAAACTGGGTACTGAATCTCGAATTCGCTTGGCTTCACTTTCTATACTCACCTTGGAGGAACACCATCTCTTACTGACGAAGCAATAGTTCAGTCGGGGAAACGCTTTGCGCAGCGATCGAATTGCAGGCGGAGAGTTTTTTAAGTTTGTCATTGCTAACTGGTAAATCTGGTCTTTTCTTCAAGCTCTAACATCACTAGTAAGTTAATTTAAAATTTATACTAATATTAAATTATATTCTTCAACTCGTTTTTCTGGAATACCATTCAAATGAGGGATTTTATGTTTATTATTATCGTTATAATAATAATTATTAGTTTTAAATTGTATATATATCATATTCATATTCATAAAAACTAAAATAATATATCCTGCACAATAGGTTTGATTCGAAGGTTTGATTAAAAACAAATTGACTTCTTAAAATACAAGAAAAGAAAACAAAGTAGATCTACTTTCTATTATTAAATGAATTCCCGGTTTTCAAGGGGTTAATGGTATACAACAAATCGCTGCTAGAATTAGCAAGCAATTATTTTAAATGTTTTATTTGTTAAGCATATATATGACAATTTAATATGAAACGCTCAACTATATGACCAGTGGTATTACGTACCTGAAACAATTTTGACATCGAATATAAAATAATATAAAATTTAGAGCTGTTAAAAAAATTTAATATAGATAATGCTATCAAAATAATTGAATTTACCTTATAATTAAAAAGGCGGCAGAGTTTTCTGACTCAAAAACCAAAGATTGCTTTAACTTATAAATAAAGATATATAGTTCAAGCTGATTGTAGATTGCTATAATATATCATAAAATTTATAAAATGATTTCATTCGTATAAATTTCATTATTCCTTGGTTTATTCACACTTTTACATGGTATAAAATATTTTCGAACATTGATACAAAATTTGGCAAAGGCTTTACAGATATAACATCAAGGATTGAGGGGTCTATAACAACATTTGTGATTTGTGCGTGATTTTGTAACTCTCACAAGATTGTAAACTTTTTCAAAAAGTAATGCCAATACATACATACGTATATACAGATGTACTCATGCYAACATAAATACATACATACACATAAAAAAGACTTAAGCCTAATATAATAATCGAAGCTTGCTGGCAGCACACGATCCTCACATATATAGAAATGTTGGTATTGTTTGTTTGTCTCGWTTGGATGGGGTTGCGCTTATTCGATGATCAAAATTAAGTCATCGCCGTCTAATTTCATGCCCTTCTTGACCTCCACCTTCTTGACAACGCCGTTCTGTGGCGCCTGGACAACCATTTCCATTTTCATGGCCGAGAGGACAACCAGGGGCTGACCCTTCTCCACCTTGTCGCCAATGGTCACGCGCACGTCAATGACATCGCCGGGCATGGGGGCGCCCACTTGTCCCTTCACCGTCTTGTCAGCCTTGGGATGAATACGGATTTCCTAAAAAGTAAATCGAAGCACATTAAATATTGCTCATAGAGAGATAAGGTCAACAATTAAGGTACCTTCATAGCCTCCTTGTCGGGAATGTGGACAGAGCGCAGTTGGCCGTTCAATTCGAAGAACACCTCGCGCTTTCCATTCGGTTTGAGATCGGCAGCCATGGCCAAGGCCTTCATGCTCAGCGTCTTGCCGCGCTCTAAGGTAACCTCGAACTCTTCGCCTACTTTGGGGCCTGACAGGAATATGCGCGTATCCAGCTTGTCGACGGGACCGAATTGCTCGCGGTAATGCAAGAACTCATTGGTCACCTGTGGATAGAGCGCTGCCGAAACAACATCACGCTCGGTAACATTTACATGAGATTCGCTCAGCTCGGCCTTCAGCTTGTCAAAGTCCAGTGGCGCCATCTCAGCACCAGGTCGGCCTTCGATGCGTGGCATGTCCTTCAGAACACGTGAACGGAATGGTTCTGGGAAGCCGCCATATGGAATACCGATATAGCCCTGCAGGTACTCGATCACCGATTTGGGGAAGGAGAGCTCTTCGGCTTTCTCAACCACTTGAGCACCATTCAGATTGTTCTGCACCATGAACTGAGCCAAGTCACCCACAACCTTGGATGACGGAGTAACCTTAATGATGTCGCCCAACACGAAGTTGGCCTCACGGTAAGCCTTCTTGACATCCTCAAACATATCGCCCAGACCTAGGGAGAACGCCTGGAACTGCAGATTGGTATATTGACCACCGGGGATTTCGTTCAGGTAGACATCGGCATTTCCTGATCTCATCGTTGTGGTGCATTCAAACGGTCCGTAGAGAGTACGGGTTTGCTCCCAGTACGCCGAATACTCGGAAATATCGGCCAAATCCAGCTGTGTGTCCAAGGGAGTGCCCTGCAGAGAGGCGACTACCGCTCCCATACTTGGCTGCGAGGTCATTCCAGACATCGAGTCGACGGCCACGTCTACAACATCAGCTCCAGCCTGAGCACAGGAAAGCATAGATGCAACACCGGCTCCAGAGGTGTCATGAGTGTGRACATGGATTGGAACGTCGGGATGCTTGTCGCGGATGGCAGTGATCAGCAGCCTATAATTCGAGYGGATCAATGAAATATATGCTGGYAACTCAASGAATGGTTCACACRTACTTAGCMGACTCTGGCTTYAAMAGACCCGCCATRTCCTTGATGCAGAGGACGTGAGTGCCCGCCTTGACGAGCTCGTCAGCCAAGTTTGTGTAGTACTTGAGATCGTATTTGGTTCTCTTGGGATCTCCCACATCTCCGGTGTAGGAGATGGCCGCCTCTACAACACCGCCTGCCTTGCCTGCCGCCTCCATGCCGAGGATCAAGTTCGGCAAGTAGTTAAGGGAGTCGAACACTCGGAAAATGTCCATGCCAGTTTGCACCTGAAAGAGAAGCATAGATGTCATTCATTGTTGYCTCTATAAGAGTGCTGCAGCATCTTACCGCTAGCTCGCAGAACTTGTAGACCACATTGTCTGGGTAACTGGTGTATCCAACGGCATTGGCGCCGCGCAACAGCATTTGGAATGGAATGTTCGGAATGCGCTTGCGCATCTCTTCCAGGCGCTCCCATGGGCACTCGTGCAGAAACCGTAGAGCTACATCGAAAGTGGCTCCACCCCAGTTTTCGAGCGAGTACAGATTGTTAAACTTGTGCGCCACGTATGGCGATATTTTGAGCAGGTCGTGGGTGCGCACACGCGTGGCCATCAGAGATTGATGGGCATCACGGAAAGTGGTGTCCATGAGGAGTAGGTTCTTTCGAGAACGCACCTCCTTGGCAAATGCTGCGGGACCTTCGCGCACAATGATGTCACGCAGACCCTGTGGTGGCTCCGTGACTGCGGCGTAGAGTTTTTCAAAATTAGAATTTCGTTGTATATAATAGACACATGCACTTAGAAAGCTAAATATAAAGCAGTCCAAAATACGAACAAACAAATTTTAATTCAAGCCACCAAAAGTAACTATGTGTATATGTGTGTAGGTATGCAAAAACCAATAAAAACCCGTTTAAATAATGTGCTTGAGTAAACTGTGTTTACGTACTGTATGTACCTAAATGTGCCTAAGTGTACCTACAAGGTACTAAAAAGGTTGGTAACTTTTGTGTGGAAATGGAAGATTGATGATATAAATTTATTACTGATTATTGTTTCATAATTAATAATTTTGAAATTTTATCCAATACTTACAACCAATTTTGTGAATTATATAATTAATATAAGCAAGCGATTAAATTTTCTGCAATTTTTTATGTTTATACTAAAAACGACGTATTGATTTAAAATCGAACCCATTTCTTAAATAATAAATATTTAACTTGATAAGTTTGTATACCATATTTTCCTTTAAGCATATCTGAAATACTTTTATTCTAAAATATTTTCCCCAACAAAGTTAAGATGTTATAAATTCTAAATTGAGCTTAAACTTTATGTATATTAGATTGCTTGACTCTAAATTATTGTATATAATAATATAATACTACCTAATTGGCTTTTTGTTATGTTAATCCAAGCTAAGGCCGAAGCTCTCAACATACTCCTGAATTGAGTGAGTAAAGTATACTAGTAATACATTTGATAGCCCATATATAATACTATATATTCATAAGAATTTAGCAAGTATTTTGTATTTACATATGAGTTTGATCAGATTCGATCGGGGCTGATGATATAGTAAGAAGTGCAGCGTTAAACGTACCTTTTGCCCCGCCTCTCTTTTCACGTTCTAAGGCTTCCGGGGACAGATCTTCAGTGGAATGATTAGATCATGACAACATTTCGTTTATGAACAAGTGTGTGTAAAGGGGTGTTGGTGTATGTGTGTGTGTAGGACGATTGTTTTTGCATATGGTAATTGTTGCAAAAGCAAAAGTTTGATTGTGTTTTTTTTTTTTTTTTTTTTTTTTTTAGAAAGAATAAAGTAAAAAGAAATGCAAAACATAAATTTAACATATTAATGAACGCATATATATATAACGAGACAGGTGCTGTTAAGAAAAGGAAAATGACTTCTAGTAAAAGTTAAAGTTTTTAACTTGAATCGTAAAGAATTTTTAATACGATTTGTTTAATAAATGTCAAAAGTACTTTAAATTAAAGGAATTGGCATCAATATAATTTTATCAGATTAAACTTTAATGAATTTTACTTTAACTTTTAGTCAGAAGTTTAATTATTCAAATAAAATCAAAGCTAACTAAATTACTATAAAAAATTCTATTTTAAAATAAAAATTTCAATAACTCTGACTTTATATCTATTTTGCAAACTTCTATTTTTATATATTTTTTATTATTATATAATTTGAAATTTCATGCCAATTTAAATAATCAAAACTGGACTAAAGTCCAAAGATTAATATTTTCTAGTGAATAGAAAAGTTGATTTACGTAAGAATTTTGAAATTTTCTAGTGATTTCTCAAACAAGCTTTACATTGAAAGAGAAATGAAAAGAACATAGAATGTTTTCCAATTTAATGAACCAATTTGATAGACAACAAAATCTGAAAGGCAAAAGTTATCAAGACTAAAAGCTGAAACAATAATTAAAGCGACAGCCATTTGATAGCCACAAATCCGAAAAGCGCATGCCTTGAACCATCTAAACAAGTGCACTTACCCAGCGGCACCTGCGGCACATGAGGATTCACCTCGGCGGGCTTCAGGGATGTCGCCAATGGCGTCTGTGGCCCATTGACCAGCACTTCGCCCAAATAGTTGAGCAGCTTTTGAGCACGATTCTGGGTAGTAGAGAACTTGAACAGCTGTGGATGCTCGTCTATAAAGTAGGTGTCCAGTACGCCGTGCAGGAACTTCTGGTTCTCGAGCACGTTCAGCAGGAAGGGAATATTCGTCTTGACGCCACGAATACGGAACTCACGCAGTGCGCGGTTCATCTTGGACGCTGAGCTCTGCAGATCACTGGCATGGGATATCACTTTGACCAGCAGCGAATCGTAGTAGGGCGAGATGATAGCTCCAGCATAGGTCGAGGCACTGTCTAGACGAATGCCCATGCCCTCGCCGGAACGGAAGACCTCGAGGCGGCCGGTGTTGGGCTGGAAGTCGTTGGCGGGATCCTCGGTGGTGACACGGCACTGAATAGCAAAGCCACGTGGCACAACATTCTCCTGGGTGAGTCCCAGCTCCTTGAGGGTCATACCCTCGGCAATGCGAATCTGCGACTGTACCAAATCGATGCCGGTAATCTCCTCAGTCACTGTGTGCTCCACCTGCAATCTGGCGTTCACTTCGATGAAGTAGAAGTTTCCAGACTCATCGCACAGGAACTCCACAGTGCCAGCATTCTCGTATCCCACATGCTTGGCCAGCCGGACTGCTGCCTCGGTCATCTTGTCGCGAGTTTCAACAGGCAGACGTGGAGCAGGCGCGATCTCAACCACTTTCTGGTGGCGACGCTGCACAGAGCAGTCACGCTCATATAAATGTACAACATTTCCTGCCTTATCGCCCAGCAGTTGGACTTCAATGTGGCGGGGTCGCTCAATAAACTTCTCAATGAACATTGCGCCATTGCCAAAGGCCGCCTTGGCCTCGGAGCTGGCACGCTCAAAGTTCTCCTCGACTTCTTCCATTTTGCGGACCACACGCATGCCACGGCCGCCACCGCCGTACGCTGCCTTGAAGATGACAGGAAGACCATGCTTTTGGCAGAATGCCAATGCCTCCTCCTTAGAGGTAACTGGGCCATCTGTGCCTGGAACAATGGGAACACCCGCTTCTATAGCCGCAATACGCGCAGCCACCTTGTCACCCATGTTCTGCACCACCTTGGGCGAGGGGCCGATAAAGCGAAGTCCAGCATCGATAACGGCCTGGGCAAAGTCGCTGCGCTCGGAGAGGAAACCATAACCGGGATGCACTGCATCAATGTCGTTCTCCTTGCAAACGCGAATGATCTCTGGAATGTTGAGGTAGGCTTCCACCGGTGCCAGGCCCTTGCCGACCATATATGACTCGTCGGCCTTCTGACGATGCATGTGCATTTTGTCCTGCTCCGAGTAGATGGCCACCGACTTGATGCCTAACTCAGTGCAGGCACGAAACACGCGAATCGCAATCTCGCCACGATTGGCCACCAGCACCGATCGGATGGGTTTGTATTCGACCTGCAAATCGAGATGTTAGAGTGAGCTGAATTGAAGGGGGAGTGGGAGGACTTACCTGAGTGGAATAGGCATTTTTGTTGATGAAGTAAAGTCTCACACGAGGAATCGCTTTGCGCAGCGTCCTGAATGCGGCTTGAGATTCCGGCAGAAACATTGTCAGGCTTTAGTTAATCGAAAGACAACTGAAAGAGACAATGGATTCATATTAAAATTTGGTCATAGGGTTTCTCTATTTCTCTACCCCAATGAACTTAACTCTCATCTAAACTCCGCCCTTATGCAGTTGACCAACTCAATAATTGGCTCCATTCATGCGAAATATATGATATATCAAACCTCAACATTGTCATTATTGTCAATTTTATTATTTGAATGAGCCTGATGATGGTGCTAATAAAGTTGCTTATCTTTCCCATTATCTTTATACTCCTATCTGTATAGTTAACTACAGTTAACATGTGCATGCCTATGTATATTCAGGTATTTATTAACATTGGACACATGTACGAATAGTTCTACTTTCAGATATGTATGCGTACATATATTATATAATATTGACTGAATCATGTCTTTTTTATATTTATTTGGTTTCCAATGTGCTTTTCTTTGGATTCGAACAGCTACGATTATTTCGGTTAATTTCAGTTAATAAAAGTGTATCACAAATTAGTACACATTATTTCTTGACAAGGTTTATGAGAAGACTTTTATTTATTATGATATAGACGAATTTATAGTATGTAAACAAATAAACCCCATCCCTAGATAACATTTCTAACTTTAGATTCACGTTTGGTTTAGTTTCTGTTAATTCTACAAAATCGTTTTATATTGTTTAACAAATTTTATTTTGGTTAAGGCCAGAGTAATTTACATACATCATGTTTTGATGCTATAAAAGCAGATGATAAAACCACAAATTAAATCATAATTCTGTTATAAAAGCAGATGAAGACACCACAAATTAACGGCCTTAAGAATTTACAATTGTATTTAAGTAAGTGTGAAAGAGCTATTAAAAAAAATAATACATTTTTATTGGTAAGGTCTTTAAGTTTGCCATTATTGTTTGACTATACAAAATAATAAAAAAAAAGTTAAAAATAAAATAAAGTTAGTCATCTTTATCTCATATTTATTTTACTTCATCTAAAATATTTATCTTGTATATTCAAGATATTTAAGTCAACGAAATATTTATCGTTTCTATTAAAAATATTTAAATCTGTGTTTACCTTTTAACACCTTCATATCAAGTTTTAGTTTGTCTTTAGCTTATTTATTCTTTACTTTCATTACGAATATACAGACAGCTGCAAATTTGCCTAAGTAATTTCTGTTTCTCTGAGTTTATTATATAAATATACAATTTTTTTTTTATTTTTAAAATCATAACAGATTAAGAAATAAAACAATTATATGACAAAAAATTAAATAATTTATGAAATTATTTTTGTATGAATAATGGACTCTAATGGATTGATAATGGAAAGTTTTTTATTTTTTCTTTTTTTTTTTTTTTAAGGTAAGTATTATTATTCTAAGCAGTTCTATTAATAGGTGACACTTTTCTGGCGTAAACATACTCAGAACGAATGACGTTTCTGTTATTCAACACATTCAAATTTTCCATACATAATGTTTTTAAATAAAAAATAAATAAATAAATAAAAAAAAAAACAGGAAAAAGATTAACTAATTTTCTTGCGGAACAACGAATTAAAGAAACTATTCCAAAATAGGTTTTTGGGTCAACAAGCTATAAATGCTTTCACTAAAAATGTTTTCTAAAATGCTAAGATCATATCTAATTTTGATAACGATTTGTATCGACGCAAAAAAGGAAATTCCCTTATTAAATTATATTTAAACAAGTCATTATTGTACGTACATATTTTAAACAAAAATACTATTAACAACCGTCTAATCTGTGCAGTAAAAAGTCTTACCGAAATTTCGTCATAAAATCGTTAAGAGCCAGACGTGAAATTTGTTGAGGACAGATAATACACTTTAAAAAAAACCTGTAATCCATATAAAATATATGGCTGCCGATAAAAGCAATCGAATTCATTGATAATTCTATTTTGTTGTTGTTTATTTTTACGCTCATAATATAAAAGGCAATTCATAAATGTAGAAAACCCGTCTGCACGCATATATAAACATGTAGATATACGTTTAAACATATTTGTAAACACATACATACATACATATATACATAGATATATTTACATTTCACACAGGTTGTGGCAAAAAGAGTATCTGCTAGTCTGATACCGCCATTCTAAGTTGTTATGCATCATTCGAGTTAAGATCAAAACAAGCTAAAACCGTAAAACCCAACAATTGCAATTGGAAACTTGTCAATTAACACCCCAACATTCCGTATTGCCAACCCCAAAGCAACAAATTAACACACCCCGTTCATAGAGCCACTATTTGGGGACTGGAAGTCAGGGAGCACGCAATTTAATGGAGACTTTTCGCTTTGTTTACATGTGTAAGAGTTGCGGGTCGCACACCCATGTCAATACAATGATTTATCCTTGTATGTGTGTATGTATGTTCACATTATAATATGCGTATGTATGTACATACATATGTTGGCTTGCCGCAATGACCGATTATGTAATGATTATTGCAATAATAAGACAGACAGACGAGCCGCCTTAGAATGTGCACAGCAGTCAGACGGTCAGACGGTCAGTCGGTCGTTCGGTTTGGTCGAATGATTTGGTGATTACGCTGCTGCTGCTTGCTTGTTGATTGCCGCTCACTTTTACTCTATATTCGTTCATACGCACATATGTACGTACGTACGTATGTATGTATGTATGTATATATAGAATTGCGCGTATGTACATATGTATGTGCGCACACTTATGCACGATCTTGAGCACACGTTGCTAAGGTCAAAGACGTTTCCACTGCGGCATAGGCCGCGCCTGCTCTGGACACATTGATTATCCGTTAAAATGATAAAGTGACAAACGCAGAAAAAAACCTATATATAAATACATACAAATATACACTTGCACATTACGTATACTTATGTATGTATGTATTTCTTATGCCATATATGCACACACACACACATTTATTTGTTCGTCTGCGTCGCAAAAAGGAACTAGGACTAGTTCGCAGACAGCACAGTGAGTAGAAAAAGTATTCGCACAGGCAAGTAAATCAACATTTGTTCAATGTTCGTCAATTTTGATTGATTGTCACACAAAGTGAAAGCAATTAAATTAAATAGCTAAACTTTGATTTGCTGTGCGCTGCTTGACTTTCAGGCTATGAAATTCATAATACAAATATTTTTTATTTTATCCACAATGCTGTTTGCTTTTGGTTGGTTGTTTTTATACATACGTCACTATGTATATATACATATGCGTATGCATATATTTTATTAACGTAAGTGATGGCACATGCCTTCATTTTGTCAAGCACGTTTTGGCTGGCAGCGAAACCATAAGAAGGCTAGATATATGGGGCATAATAAAATGGACCCGAACAGCAGGCATAGATAATGAAGGGAGTGTGGGGGAACATTTCTACATATGTATGTGTCTGTCTGTCTATGTATGCTTGTAAAAGTGCAGTTACATTCATACATAAGCGCTTGTTACGTATCAATTAGCAATTTAGTATGCACGCAACTAAATATACATATGTACATGTATAATATATACATATGTCGTATGTACATATATATGTTTGAACATACCCTTTGGAATCACAATATGTCCAGCTGCTCCCTGTTGTTATCCCTGGATAGAATCTTTCGAGCACACTTTTAATTCAACTTCACCGCACAATTAGCACACGCTGTGATAACTAAAAACAGTTGAAATAATACAAGACGATTTTACAGTTATAGTGTATGTAAAACAATTTAGCAAATGTATAAATCACATAACTGTTATATAAACTAGCGTGGTTTTGAAATCGAAATCGACAAAATTAACTTCAGCGCAAATAAAAAAACACAAGGAATTAACAAATTACTCTTTAGAATTAGCAACTAGCTAACACAAAAATGTACATGCGTGTGTGTGTGTGTGTCTATCTCTTTACATACATACTATGTATGTTTGTGCTTGTAATACATACATATGTATTTGTATGTGCGTTGAATTTCTGTTTGGGAAGGTAGACCACCTCGGTACAATTTACGTTGAATATTTCACAACTGTTTCTGCCCGGGAGCTCGAGCACTGCGTACGGCTGGCACCAAAGCTTAATATTCAACTGACGGACGCTGTCGAAAAAACTTGAAAGTTTACACTGTATTGCCGGTGGCGGCTGCCCACAGTTGCTCCCGTGTGCGCTCTCTCTCTCTCTCTCTCTCTCTCTCTCTTTACTGGCTCTCTCTCCCTCAATCTGTGGCTGCCTTTCGCTCTTTCGCTTCGATTTTTCGTGGATGGCTCTCGCACTTTCGAATAGTGTATGCGTGCGCCTAACAGCCGTCAGAGCCAGCAATAACAACTAAGTTGTGTACTTTGGCCCAAAAACAACAACAATCGCAGAATTGTGTTATGTGTGTGAGTGTCAGAGGCCGGCTAAGAGTAAACTAGTTAAGCTCCAAGGAGAGAAACAGCTGTTTTGCTGGTACCTAAAGTATATGTACCTTTTATAGATTTGCATTTTTGACATTGTTGCATACATACATACATATAGGTAAATGTAAATATACATATGTACACATATAAATATTAACTAAGTATACATATATAAATAAACATGTGCATGGAATAAAACTAAACTAAAACAATATTCGTTTCTCTGTTGATCAAATGTAGCAATAGTATATAGGATTATTAACTTTAAAAAAATGACAAAAAATATGGAAGTTTATATATTTTGTTACGTTATGTTATGTTACATAAGTCTAAGACTAGAAGTATAAAAGTTTAATAGTTCTTGATAGTATTAGAAACTTATGTCAATTTTTATTTTGGTGTCTACAGCTCTTATAGATAAGAGCGAGAAGTAGACATGTATATATGTATACATATGTATACATACATACATATGTACATACATACGTGATTGTATAGACAGATTGACTATTAGATGAACTGAGAGATAGAAATCAGTAGTTGCCTGTTTATTAAGATCGAAAAATATATAATTATAATA